TTACTGGTGAGACCAATGTCAGCAGCACCCAGTGTACATAATATTTACCCTTAAACATAATAGATCCTACTATGGGGTCTACTGCTTTTTCCCATTAAACCAAAATGATGAGTTAAATAACTATCTATAGTACAAAAATAATATTTGTTAAAATGATTTACAATTTCAAATGGTGGACAAGAGAACATAGGTAATGTAGTATACAAGATTCATTAGAGAGTAAGAGAGAAGCTAGATGTAAAACTTCACAGGAAGAGAGCAAGAGGAGTTGACAGTGATTGGCTGTTGGTTGCAGAAAAGTTGGAAAGACAATCCAGGAAAATAGACAAGAGGAAGAGTATGAACAAAGAGAAAAAATTAAAGGCATAAGAATACAACAAAAATGCAAAACACCATTCCTATATCATTGTCCTCTACATACTGATGCATAAAAATCATCCTGTTCCAAATATGATAAAGAGATTAGTGAATCAAAAAATGAAATAAAATAAAATAAATCTTGCTGAAAAATTGAACTATCTCTGTCAGTGTTCAACAGTTTCTCAGCCCTGTCTCTGATGTCCCTCTGGATCACCAAACCCAGATCAGCCCTCACAAACCCAGTCTCTATCCCACCGATCTGGGCTTCAGATACCTCAGGATCAGCCATGCTATAGTCCCAAGATCTCAATGCTGCTCCTACTTGCAGAGAGACCACCAGGGACACACTCATGCAAAGGAGCAACCCCAAGATGCAGCAGCAAGACAAGGGCCACCAGCACTCTCAGCAGGAAGACCCCAGGCTCCTTCAAATCCACAGGCACCCCCACACTGGACCTGCAGGCTCCAGCTGTGTCACTAAACAGAGGCTCTCATGGTGGTAAACCTGCTGGCACCTGGGCCTCAGGCCCTGGTTAGTGTCCCAAAATGGGTGCAGCCATGTGCAACCAAACCTGGAGTCTCCCCTGAAGCAGTCCTCTAGGCTGTGGTTGTACCTGTATTGGCAGTGATTGTTGCAGCAGGCAGTGGGTCAGCAGTAACAGCGGCTGCAGTGGCAGCTGCAGCTGCAGCTGTGGGGGTAGCATCACCAGTCGATCTCTAGGGTTCAGCAGCAGTGTCTGCTTCAGTTGTATCTGGGGCAGATTTTTTTTCTATGGCAGCAGCACCCAGAAAGAAGACCTCCAGGCAATCTCAGGCTGGCAGCAGTGGATTCAGAGGCAGCAGCAATGGTGGTAGTGGTGCAGGCCCCCAAACTTGTCATTGCTTGTCATTTTTATAGTAGTTATCTTCACAGCTATGAGGTGATATCTCATTGTGGTTTTAATTGGATTTCCATGATGACTAGAGCTGTTGAGAATTTCTTCTTTATCTGTTGGCTATTCATATGTCTTTTGTTTGAGAAATGTCTTTTGTTCATTTTTTAAAATGGGTTATTTATTTTTCTTGATATTGAATTGAGTTTCTTCCTTACATATTTTATATAGTAACCCATTTCAGATGTTCGGTTTGCAAATATTTTTTTCTTATTCCATATTTTGCCTCTTTGTTGATTATCAGCTTGATATAATCTTGTTTGTCTATTATTTTTGCTTTTGGTGCCTTGCTTTTGGGTTCATATCCCAAAATCTTTTGCTAAAATCAAAGTCATGCTATTTCCCCCCCCCCCAGTTTTCTTCAGTAGTTTTGTATTTTTAGGGCTTATGTTTCAGTCTTTAATTAATTTTGAGTTGATTTTTGCATATGGGGTAAGATAATGGTCCAATTTCAATCTTCTACATGTGGATATCTAATTTTCAGAACACCATTTGTTGAAGAGAATCCTTTCTCCACTGTGTTATTGGCACATTTGTTTTGAAATTAGTTGACTGTGTGTTGATTTATTTCTGGGCTTTTTATTCTTTTCCACTTACTGCTTTGTGAGTCTACCTTTCTGCCAATTATATGCTGTTTTTATTATTAGAGCCATGTAGTACATTTTGACACCAGACAATGTAATTTCCTCCAGTTTTGTTGTTATGCTCAAGATTGCTTTGACTCTTCAAAATCTTTTGTGGTTTCATATGAATTTTAAGATGTTTTTTCTATTTATGTGAAAAAATGTCATTGGACTTTTCATGGCAATTGCATTGAACCTGTAGACCTGTAGATTGCTTTGGGTAGTGCTATGGTTAATTATGGTTTGTCCCATTCAAAACTGATATTGAGGTTTGACTGTCATTACTGGCTGTGAGGGAAGGTGAGGCCTTTAAGAGGTGATTAGGTCATTAAGAAGGATTAATGTCTTTCTTTCAAGAGTGGTTTGTTACACAGCAAGGCCATCCCTCATGTTTTATCACTTCTGCACATGCCTACTTTCTCTTCTGTTTTTTTTTTCTCTTACCAGAAGATGAGCAGAGTCTAGAACCATGTTCTTGAATTTCCTAGTCTCTAGGACCATCAGCCCAAATGAATCTTCTTCTTTATAAATCACCCAGTTTCAAGAGTTCTGTTATATCAATAGAAAACAGACTAAGACAGGTGGTATGGACATGTTAAAATATTATATGTTCTAATACATGAATATGGAGCATTTTTCCATATATTTGTGTCTGATTCTTTTTTCTCATTGATATTTTATAGTGCTCAGTATACAAGTCATTCTCCTCTTTGGTTCAATTTATTTCTAAATGTTTTAGTAGTTTTGTAAATATAATCTTTTAAAAATTTTTTCCAGATACCATGATTTTCATTAGCATTTTCTGTGCCTCAGTTTCATCCTGTCAAATGATGGATGGGGTGAGTGAAGGGATCCTCAAAGCTCTTGCTAACATTATTTGTACTTAGATGCAAGGCTGAATTTTTTCATGGTATATTCTTTTTTGTTGTTGTTGTTTTGCTTTGGAATGCACTTGGAATAAATTCCAAAGGAAAGGGCTATGGCTGGGTGGACAACTGCAGAAAGTAAAATCCTGATTTAACTTGCCTAACTTGGGAAGGCTTTTTATAGGAAGATTATCAGGTATGGTGATCATCTCCCACCAACCCATTCTTTCACTATGCCCTACTATAGGCCCTGATACTGATATTTTGTGTCCAGATGCATTTTAGGAAACACATCCTGCTCTTATTACCAAAAGAATTCATGAGGCAGGCAGGCAGACTTATATATGGACCATCTTCTTATAAACCCATGTTCTAAAAAAGGAGTATAGTATATTTAAGAGCATGGCCTCTAAATCCACACTTCTGCATTCAAATCTCAACACCATTACTTAGCAGCTATGGAAAATGTAGACTAAATCAATTGAGCTTTCTATGTCTCAGTTGAAGTATCTTTAAAATGGAAGTAGTAGTATCTACCTCATAGAGCTGATGTGAGAACTAAAAATATAAAGAACTTACTGCACTGTCTGGCACTTATGAATATTAAAATCTTATTATCCTGAGCCTACTTGAAGGAAACAGAACTCATGGATAAGGATGCCAGTGTAGTACAGAGATAAAGACTCTGCGTGTCCTAGGAGGCAGTGGGACTAAGGCTTCTCTTCTTGGCCTGCCACTGACTTGCTGTATGATCATGATCAAGTCTGTGCCTGCTTTTGGTCCCATTTTCCCAAACTAGCTCATCTTTCAGGTCTCTTCCAACTTGAACATTTTCTGAATCATTCTCTGTAGGCTATTCACATACATACAGGAAGGACACAAGGTAAAATGCATCATCCTACTGCTCCCTTGGCTCTGTGACTTAGGCAAGTAATATGTCTTCTCTGGATTCCCAGTGCCTTTCTGCAAAATGACAGAATGGATTTCTGAGGTACGGTTTCAGTCTTTTCCTTTTTGGCTTAGAAAATATCAAGTGAAAGTTAGCTATGAAGAACAGAGGAGGAACAGACACCTCTGAGCCTGGTGAGCTGGTTCCTAAGAAAAACCACCAAGAAAGCAGAAGCAGTCAAGGCATCTGTCAGCTTGATGGTTTGATGTGTCTGCCCTCTCCTCTTGGTCTCCTTCTTAGCAAATTTGTTTTCAGACTGTGCAGGGCAGAAGGGTCAAGGGCACTGACTATATGGAGAGAGAGAATCCATCATAAGAGAGCTCTCATTTCTGGTCCCAGCTATTCTGGGAGGTATTCTTAGGGGCCATAATCACCTCTTTGGTCTTCTGCTCAACCTCCATTACCTCCCAGTCCACTATCTTCTCCTTTATTACCTCCAAGCTTTTGCTGCTGCTGTGCATACACCTATTAGGGCATGTATAGTACTGGCTCAATTGTAATAGTTTGTTTACATCCACAGGTCTCTCCCAGTAGCCTGTGAACCTGGATGACTAACTGTGTATGTCTGACTCATTTTGGGATCCAGCATTTAGCTGGAGGATGTTTGCTTGAGCAGGTAATCTGATAGGTGAGTTCTCTCAGGCTGGATTCCTGAGTGAATGGAGGAGCAAACGCTAGAGGGAAGCATGGACTGTACCCTACCTGCTGCTCCCTTGGTTTTGTGGCTTGGGCAAGACATATGTCTTCTGAATCTCAAGTGCTTCCCTATAAATTGAGAGAACCAACACACATATTTCTGAGGTACCTTTTAGCCTTCTCTCTTTTAGTTTTTTTTTAATGCATTTTCCTCAGTTGTCATAGTCTGATAATAATAGCTTTAAGTTATGCCCTTCTCAATTTTTTTGTATTTAAATGGCAATCAAAGCTTTCCTTGACACACAAACTGTAATCTTGGATCCAGATCTTAATCTAGTGGGTCCAAAATAATGAGTTCTTGCTTTGTAAAGGTCTTAAAGATTTGGCACTCCAGTTGTGATAAAGTGTGTTCTATGTATTTGATCATTACAAATCTATAAAGTATCCTGTTTTTAGCCTTGCCTAACCTAGCACTTCTCTCTCTCTCTCACTCTCTCTCTCTTCTATCATTAATATTCTTTCTCCTTCCCTCACACTCCCTCTTTCTTTTCCCTCTTCCTTCCCCCCTTCCCCTCCCCCTCCCCTCCCCCTCTCCCTCTCCTTCTCCCTCTCCCTCTCCCTCTCTCTCCTTCAGCTGGAAATAACTGGCCATCCCTCCCCCTGTGCCTTGGTGGCCCATTCCTGCTGTGACCATGGAGACTCTCAGCATCTGCCGGACTGCTTCCTTCTCAGAGCTGGTGCCCAATGGCTGCCAGGTTCAGGTCTTCCCAGACCCCCCTGAGGTAGAAGGCTTGACTAAGGAGGTGAGGCTGGAGGAGCTAGAGGGATCTGAGCAGTGTATCCAGAGAGACATGAGTCCCAAGGAAGAGAGTGGTTGGAACAAGAAGAAAACAAAAGTCAATAAGATCTGGAACTTTATGAGTCGCAGAAAAGGAGCTTCCAGCCAGAGAAAGCGACCTCAGTCCATGATTTTGCTGGAAGACATCTCCAGACCATCAGAGGTAAAATCCAAAGTCACCTTCATGGATCGAATGAAGTCATTCAGGAGGTCAAAGACTTCTACTGGGGCCTCTAAGAATACTCCCCTCAGGAGTAGTAAGGTCCAGGAGCCACAGGAAGCCACAGGTGTCTACAGGATACGGAATATTGAGGATGCTCTAAAACCCTTCCGCCATTCCTATGCAGGCCATATTGAGGGGTTGGAGCCTTTCCTTGAAGATGTGCAGGGGCTTGTGCAAGCACCCAAGAGGGAAAACCAGAAGGTGCTAACCTCTGAGGATTTTGGCATCCAAGTGGAGGAAGATTTCTGGGAGGAGGAAGAGGTTCCTGGGCACTTCAGTAGTAACAGACAATGCAGAAACTACCTGAAAAACATGTCTCCTAGGAGTCATGAGTCCCCTTCTGCCTGGGTAGAAGACACCAGAATCCAGGGGCTTGAGACCACCATTGAGGGCTCCACCTTGGAAGGAGACACAGAAGGCATCTATGAGGAGAGCCCTGGACACCAGCACAGAGATAAGATGGCTCCATTCAGTGTCGTTGTCAAATTCTTCAACAATATGGCTGAAGCAGCCCGCAAGTGGCGGTCATTCTCCCGTGAAGAGCCACAGTTGGGCCGCCGCCACCGTGAACCCTACTGCAGCGATGGCTTCGTCCTGGAAGGCACTACTTCCCAAGTCTCCTTCCCACTTGATCTGCCCTGCCAAACCACTGAATCCAACCTGTGGGGCAATGCTATGGGAAGGTGCCGACGCCATCACCGGAAGGCCCCACACACTTCATGCACTTTTGAGATGAGCATTGAAGGTGAGGAGATTCCTGGTCAGGCTCTATCAGGTCCCTGTGATGCTGCCACCTCTTCTATGACCTCAGCTGTCTTCAAGTTCCAGGATGACCCAGTGAAGCAGAAAGGCCACTGCCATAGCAACTGTCATACCTCCACCAGGGAGCATTCCTCCTCTGAGGAGCTTGATGAAGACACAGAGACGGTGGTCAGCTTCCTCAGGGAAGAGGACAGTTCCAGAGAGCCCCCTGAATTGGGTGCTTATGCCAAGAGGTTCACCACTGAGGCTGTCATGGAGAAGTTGGAGGAGAAGCCCAGTGAAATGAAAGAGCAGGAGGAAAATTTGGAACCAGAGGAGTCCAGCCAGGCCAGGAAGCCCCAGAAGCTTGAGATGGAAATGAGTGCAGGGGATGCAGAAGGCAAAGCCACCAAGGCCTGCTCTGGAGTTTGTCATTCTCAGGTAAGGCTGGCTTTTCCAAATAACTATTTGAAATATTTGGGACCCCAGAAGCCAGCTAAACTCATACCTCATACCCCATATCCCACCATCAGCCAGAGATGTCCTGAAAGGAATGCTCCTAGCAGTCAGGTGCAGGGAACTTGACTGATCCTGAAGCCCTGAAAATAGTAGGAAAGTGGCCATGGTCATTTAATTATGTCTAAGGGAGTCATGCTCTCCCATTTTTCTTAGATTGTGAGACATTTCCCTGGCTTTGTCTGCCTTCTTCCTTCCCTTCCCCTCCAGCAGGAAGTAGATCTAGAGACTGGGCTCCAGGGGAGCCTCTGAGCTGTGACAGAAGATCTGCATTTGTGTCCTAGCTCTGTGCTCTGTTGTCTATATTATATTGAGATAAATCCTTTCATCTTGCTGGATCTCAGTTTCCTTATTAGTGCAGTAGGCTGCGCTTGGTGTCTTTAGGTACTTTTCTAGTAACAACACCCTAAATTATTTGGCCTGAAGAATATAAACTAAGGACAATTCATTTATATTCTTCTCCCATAATTTATTGAGAAGAACTTCATATCCAGTATCTGGCAGGATACTGTCATGTATTGTTTCCATTTAATTCTTACACTAACCTTGTAAAATAGGTGAGACTATCCTCATTTTACCAGTGAGGAAACTGGAGCTCAATGTGACTTATCCACAGTCATGCAGATTGTGATAGAATTTGAGTTCAAATTTGAGTTCTTAATTTTTTTGTGTGTGTGTATGTGCTGGTGATCAAACTCAGAGCCTCCTGCATGCTAAGTCATGCACTCTACCACTGAGCTACATCTCCAGCCCCAGGTTCTTATTTTTGACTTTAAATCAAGTATTCTATCTGTTGTTTCCAGGGGACTTAATTTGAGTAGTAACAGGCAGCTCTTCAGCATACCCCTACTCAAGGACGAAAAAATAAATATGCGAGAATTATTGTGGAAGGAATGTTGAATAAACACTAGAGGGAAATCTGACTTTGAGCCTTAAGAATGTTTTTATAAGGAGACATGATATCCTTTCTCCAGATTATTTTAGGACAAAACTATTTTTTAAAGAATAGTTAATTAAAATTCTTCATTATGGTAGGGTGAAATGGATTACCTTTGTAGAGCTGTTTCCATCATCTCTCCCATCCCACTTTTAGAGCATTTTGACCCCATCAGGACAGAAGCAATAGTCCTGGTTTTTTTGGAGAAAGGCATTAATATGTTTACAAGCATTCTCTTTCTATATTTTTCAGTTATGGTAAACTATAAAACATAAATATTGGAGTTATATTGTGGAAGTAATTTTTATTGCAGTGGTTTTAAGACCAACAATCAAACAAACAAGCAAATAAATATACCGGTTTACTCCATTAGCTAACAATTGCAATCGGGCACGGCATGTCCAGGGTCACCTATAACCTAGAAGAGGGTCACAGATGGACTAATCACATTCCTAGTGGGCCATATATGCTAGATGCAGATGCCTTGTGGGATCTTTAAAAGTACAGGCTTTAAAATTACTAAGGATTGGATGTGAATTGCCCTCTCATTTGTGAAAAAGGTTTAAATACTGCCTACCTAAAGGGCTGTTGTGAAAAAAAACAACAACAGTGTATGTAAAGTATGCAGCCTAGTACTATGTACAATGCTCTTTGTGGATATTTACAAAGTGGTAGCAATCACTACTACTACTACTACTGAAATTTGGTAAACTATAAATAATTGTAAAAGAATTCAAGAGAGTAGCATATAGCAGTAAGCTGATTGGTACTGTTGAACTAATAGTGTCTGAAAATCAGGTAACACTGGGTTCTAATTTCATTTCTACTCATGATCAGCTTTGTGACCTTAGTCCAGTTTCTTCCTCTCATTGGAGCTCAGTTTCTCCATCAGAAGAATGTGAATTTGAACCAGACAGTTCCTGGGGATCTTTTCACTGATTCTTGCGTCCAGTCTAAACTTGTAATTAACTCTTTAAGTTCAGTGAGAGACTGGTCACCTCCTTTTTGCTTAGTGGTTTCCTAGTGGCTCTTCTCTGCAGGCATCCTATGCCCTCTGCTGGTTTCACAGAGATACTGTCTAGCTGTCCTTGGTGTTTAAAACACCAGCCTACCCAGGCCAGTAGTGCATGCCTATAATCCTAGCAGTTTAGGAGGCTGAGGCAGGAGGATTGCAAGTTCAAAGCCAGGCTCAGCAAAAGCGAGGCACATTAAGCAACTCAGTGAGACCCTGTCTCTAAATAAAATACAGAAAAGGGCTAAGGATGTTGCTGAGTGGTTAAGCACCCCTGGATTCAGTTCCCAGTACAAAGAAAAAACAAAACAAACAACAACAACCAGCCCAGTGAAACTGCAAAAGTGGAGCAAAACAGCTGTGAATGTGAGGGACATCGGTGTAGGTCAGGGGTCCTGTTGACCATCTGGTTCATTCAGTTCATTTTACAGATGATACACATTTTACAGATGATTTACACTGAGTCTGAGGGAAGGGAAAGGATTTCCTCTGACACACAGAAACTGGGAGCCAAATAGGATATGAAAATTGTAGTCTCATCTCTGCCACAAATCTTACCTTCCCTCTGGGTTTTAGCAGCTTTCTCTGCCAGTTGAAAATTCTCATTCTCACCTCAGGCATCTCTCAGGTCTCTAGTGAGGCTAAATTGGGATATTGGATATGAAAACAATACATTGTAAAGTAGCAATGCCCACACATTGCATTCCATTATTATATGAAAATGTAACTAAAAAAAACCTGATAAAGGCCCAGGCTCTTCTGCATTACTCAGAGCTACAGTGGGCTTTGGCTAGCTTCTTCTGGAGTGTTTTTATTTTTGTGGTGTACTCATACAATCTTTCAGAGCTAGAAGCTCCTGAAACTGACTGTTTTGGCCCAGATTTGGCTGTGGTAAGCTCTATCTCTGCAACTTTAAGGTGAATGATGTTAGAGGAGGTGGGACACATTTCCAGTTCTAATGGGTTATGTGTCTATAAGTTGCAATTTGCATCACCTCCTCTAATATCATCCACCTTAAAGATATCAGAGATTGTGAATGGGTCTCATTAAAGGTCTCCAAGCCTCACTCTATGTACGTAGAAAATGGGGAGAGTAATACCACTAATTATAGCCAGAATTTACACAGTGTTTGTTTTGTGCCCAGACACTGTTCTCAGCATTTTACATATACGAACTCAATTTTATCAAAACAACTACCTTATGAGTCAGGGACTAGTTTTGAAATGGGATGATAATAATATCTACCCTATAGGCTTGTTTTAAGGATGAAATGAGTAAATACACAGGAGTACTTATAACAATGTGTGGTCAAGAGACATTGTACAATAAATGTTAGCTATTGTGTTCACTATTAAAAGCACATATCACAGGAAAGGACTATAACTTAAGCCTATCATTAGCTAACACCTTAGTGGGAATTAGTAGGATACAAATTATATGAGGAAGAGGAAGAATGATAAGACATGACTTTATACTTTGCATAATTCTTTCCAGTGCATAAAGTGATTTGTAAAACTTATATAATTATAAATATTATTATCATTATTCTCATATTACAGATGATAGGGCATGACATACAAAGAAAGAAAACATTGGACTTGGAGTCAAAAAGCCTAGTTGTAAGTCCTGGATCTTGTACTTTACCAGACATGTGACTTTTGATAAATCATTTAACCACTTTGATTTTTTAAAATTTATTTATTTATTTTAATTAGGTATGTGACAGCAGAATGCATTTTGATTCATTATACAGAATTGCAGCACAACTTTTCATTTCTCTGGTTGTACATGATGTAGTGCTGCACCATGGGTGTAGTCATATATGTACCTATGGTAGTTTTGTTTCTTTTATTTTTCTACTGGAGATAAGAAGTCCCCTCTGCTTCCTTTCTAGGTAATAAAGAATATTATACTTAGTATATCAAATACTATTTATAACATGAATATTATATCAAACACTATATGCCTTTAATTCTATTATTTCATTTGAAGCCCCAGTGTTCCTCTCCCTTCCAGTGTTGTTTTGGTCTTATCACCATTATCTCATTTTATTAAGCTTATGCCTACAAATAATACTCATATCCATGCTCAGAAGTAGTTAAGGCAGTGGCTACTGTCTCTGTTGTACAGATGAAAAGACTGAGCCTGTCTAAGGATATACAGAATGAATTGGTGGTAGATGCAGAATACAAGGAATTAGACTTTTGGCCAGTGCTGGTTCTATATAGCCTCTTACTTCATACTGGAATTCTGTGAGAATTATCAAGTTCACTTTCTTCAGTCTCTTACCTGCTGCCTATTTTTAAGCTGGTAGCACAATATGCGCTCTGTAAAAGAAACAATAGTTAGGTTTCCCAACCAAATTGCCAGCCACTCTTGCCTTTTTCCTCTGTCCTCCCTTCCTTCAACTCTTATATATTCTGGATGGGTCCAACTTTTCCTTAATTTAGTATGGGCCTCAGTAAAAGTACATAGTTTGACAATATACTGTATAGTTAGCCTCTTACTTCTACCTATAATAAAAATAATTCAAGGGCCCAGTCCCTTTCATTGCTGGGCTTCAGTTTTTTTTTCTCCCATCTGTTTCATTGTGGGGAGATTAGAATTTTTGATTTGTAAACTTTCCAGTTCTAATGGTTTATGGGTCTGGAAGGCAAAGTAAATAAGTTAGGATTAAGAGGAGTGGTTAAAATCAACCCTGAGACCATGCCATTGGATGCATACAGAGCTACTGTCTGAAGCTCTGTTTTCAGTATGACCTAGTGACTGTTGCAAGAATGGACTGAATTGAGAATTTGTCTCGACCCAATTGCTAAACTAATTTCCAAGGGTCATATAGACTGTTAACTGCTACTTATATCCAATCTTCTTATGAATAAGTGGAATAAGAACACGGGTGGAAGAAATCTCTACTGTTTCCATAGTGACTTAGGAGCGTTGGGGAGGAATGAAGGATGTAGGCACCAAGGTGTTATTTTCATGTTGTCTAGAAATACAGTATGGCAGGACTATAGTCAGATAGACTTATCACTTATTAGTTGTATGACCTTGGGAAATGCATTTCCCTTTCTAGCCTTAGTTTTCTGACTGTAAAATGGGCTACTGTCTACATTGTGAAGTAGTTATGAATAATGAGATAGTATGGTAAATAGGATGATTTATGAGGGTCTCTGATAATATCAGATACACCACAGAGATGCCATAGATCTTGGTTCCTTTCCATGTTTTTTACCTGGAGGTCAAGATTTTGGAAAATAAAAGGAGTTGGGATGAAGACAGCAGGCTATGTTGATGGTGAGTGGAAGGACTTGGGTTTGATCTTAGCTAAGATGTGCTTTTGCAAGGGAGCATTTCTCTGTCTCTCTGTCTCTTGTTTTTAACAAAGTACTTTATTCTGTGCTTTACTTGTATTATCTAATTTCCTCATCCCTACAACTCTGAAAGGGACATAATCTGACTATTCCTTATATGCAAAGGAAGAAAGTGAGACTCAGAGAGATGAATCATTTGCCCCCCCCATCTTACAATGAGTAAATGATAAAGTCTTGCAAATGCAGAACCCTCACTCCTTGTATCTGAATATAAACCAAACACACACACACACACACACACACACACACACACACACACACGCCCTAGAAAAGAGAAACAATGACTGTTATTTTCTTTAAACGAGTTGCTCGTTTTTCATTTTTTCCACTCCCTGGTATCTTCTAAGTTCTTGGTATTTGAGTATTTGCTTGAATTTATTAATGGCACATGTTCACCCTGCTTGTATTTGGGGCCTGGACCAAATGACATTTCAAAATGGAAGCTCTGACATTTAAGCCAAGTGCTGGCTTGCTCCTCACTTCTATTAAGTAATTCTATTTGGTTGTTGTTTGTTTTTTGCAGGCCTTATTTCCCCCAGCTGAACCATCACCAAGGAATCCACCACTCAAAATCCTTTTGGAAAAATGCCACTCTCTGCCCATCTCACAGAGTATCCCTGTGGAGCTGGACCAAGTGGGCTGGAGGAGACCCATGATGCTTTGCACTGGTATGTCTTTTATGCCCTCTCATTAGCATCTGAAGTTCATAATTTAGCCATGCCTTATTATAGAATTAGCCTTTTTTAAAAAAAATCTGTCTAGTTATACATGCACATAATGTCTTTATTTTATTTATTTATTTTTATGTGGTGCTGAGGATTGAACCCAGGGACTCACATGTGCAAGGCAAGCACTCTGCCACTGAGCCACAACCCAGCATAGAGTTAGCTCTATCATGCTCTTCTTTTAAAATGCAAATATACCCATTTGGGTGGCCCTTTAGCTCAAAGCCCTTGGGAATCACATTCTTCCCAAAATCTCTCTTTTTCCCAGGACCTCTGTTCCTAGTACTTTCTAGGCTTCATGATATGCTCCAGTTCTTGCTCTGCTCTCCCTGCTTCACAGTGCACTTATATATACCATGTTGGCCTCAAAGGGACCTGTCTTACATAGTTCTCACCTCCATGGGGTCATCCTAGTTCTGTCTCTCTTGATTCTTACCTCACTTTCTGTGGGTCCTAGGTCCTTCATTTCCTTCACTGACTACCAATTATGGGAAACTCCTCAAAGCTTGGGACAGCTTCATTTAACCTTCTCAAAACCCAAGACTTTCCACTCCCAAACCTAGTTACTTCCCAGAGTTTCAGAGTGGGTCATTTCAGACTCAGCCCACTAGCTTTGCCTTCCAGGCTCTTCTCACTCACAAGTAAAGCTACATCTTCTGCCACATTGAGGGGAAATCCATGCTCTTGGATGCCTGTGCTTTACACCATATCCTAACATGCTTCAGGCCTGTTTCTAGTCCTTTTTGCAGCAACAAAATTAGTATGAATGCTGATGGTAACTAGGACCATGTACAATTACTTTCCAAAGTCTCTAAAAGTTCTGAGAACTCCAGTCTTGTTTCCCCATACCACAAGATTCTCATAACCCCAAAGGATATAAAGCTGCTCTGAACCTACTCCTTTTCCTATTTCTTCCTTTATTCATTTTACTCCATGTGTGGGGGAAAATGGGTTGCCTTGTCTTAGAGCTTATCTCTCACCTTTCTTTCCTGGCTTTGCAGGAAGGTAGGACTCAAAAGAAATAGCTGATTGGATCTTCTGTAGCATCATTACCCTCAAAACTCCCTAGAAGCTATGAAGGTAGTAAAAGGAAAGAGTAAAGAATTTTGAGAACAGGGAAATCTGATCCTTCACAATCAGAACTACAAAGGTCCTAAGAGTTTGAGTGGTCCTTTTGCTTTACAGATGGAGAAACAGTCTCAAAAGGTAAAGGGATCTGCCTAAGGTCACAGAGTCAGTTATGACTGAGGGCTTTGGTATCCTAAATTTCCAGCATGAACAAATGATATTTTTCTCCAGTTTTGGTGTGGAGTCTTAAATACTCAGCCAGGTGCAGTGGTGCATACCTGTAATCCCAGTGACTTGGGAGGCAGAGGCAGGAGGATTGCAAGTTCCAGACCAGCCTCAGCAACTTAATGAAGCCCCAAGCAACAAGAGACTGTGTCTCAAAATAAATTTTTTAAAAAATATTTTATTTGTTGATGGAATTTATTTATTTATTTATTTATTTATTTGTTTGTTTGTTTATTTATTTATTTGTATGTGGTGCTGAGAATCAAACCCAGTGCCCCATGCATGCTAGGCATGCACACCACCACTGAGCCACAACCCCAGCCCTCAAAATAAAAAAACTTAAAAAGGGCTTTGGGGAGCTGGGGCTGGGGCTCAGCGGTAGTGCACTTGCCTGGCATGTGTGAGGCACTGGGTTTGATTCTCAGCATCACGTATAAATAAATAAAAAACAAAGGCCTATCAACAACAAAAAAAAATATTTGTAAAAAATGGGCTAGTGATGTGGGGGGGATACCTGGGTTCAATCCCTGGTATCCCCTCCAAAAAATATACATATGTATACACACATGTGGGGATATATATGCATATATATACACACATATATACATATATGTATGTGTATATATACACATATACATGCATATATTTATGTATGTGTATATATGTATGTGTGTGTGTGTGTATGTGTGTGTGTGTGTGTGAGAGATATGGGATGTCAAGGCTCTGGTTCCACCCAAACTCACCTGCAGTGTAGTTACTACCCCTTTCCGCTCCTGTGAAGAAACGGCAGGTGGTGGATATAAAATAAGCCATTAAGTGAGCAGCAGATGTCTGCCATATTTTCTAAGTCTCCTGCTTAGGAGTCTCCTATAATCCCCTAGGAAGTCAGGTCAGGGGGCCTATGGCAGAAGAACTGGTCACAGTTGTTTCTCCCCTCTCTCCTTTTCTCTTAGGAAGCAGACCCACCCCCTGGCAATTTAGAGGCTTTTGAGCAGCTGCTAACACCCCGCCCCCACTGCCAAGTGCATCAGATAGACTCCCACACAAGCCTCCTAATTGTTAGAAAGAAATAACAGCCCCTTAGGGTGAGGGCTCATCAGGGTTAATAGTCCTTACCATAGTGACTGCTCTGGGCTTATTTATAGGCCAAGGGTGGGAAAATGTATCCCCAACTTTGGTTTATGTTTTGGCATCACCTCAGCAGCCACTCTCACCTTTGAGATATAAATGGCTCCCACATTACAGTTCTGCTTCTCAAGGTCCCCACTAGACACTTGAGTCTAAAAATATCCCTGGGAAACAGGGTGACATCAGGACCCCATTTAGGAAGCTGGTTGTCATCCAGTTCCTCTTCTGTCTCTGATTCTGCTAGTGATAGGATCCGAGAACCACATTCAGATCGTGATTAGTATTTGATTTACTTCTATCTTGCTCAGGACCTGAAGAACTTCATTTCATTTTTTACTGCTGGATTTCTGCACTTCCATCTGCCTTCACATACACTCTTACCAACACTTCCCTCTAAGATTCTAACCTGGAGGTTGCCAGAGCAGACCATTATAATAGAAAGAGGAACAACTTTGGATTTGGATAGATCCAGTGTCAAATTTTTGCTCTGCCACCTTAGTAAACGTGCATAAGATCTCTAGTCCTCAGCTTCCCCATCTGGGGAGTGGGATACTGAATAACATCTGTCTCACAGGAGTGTTGTGAGCACTGAATGAAATAGAATTTATGAATGTGTGAATGCTGCAGCACAGTTCCTAGCATGCAAAAGTGCTCAATGATGGCAGGTTGCTTCTTTTCTCCACTGTCCATCATGTGCCTAATTTTTTTTTCCATATACATACATACACCACTATGGAGCTCAACCTGGATTTTACTACATGCGCTTCTCCCTCTCATTCATTCTTTTACTCACTCTTTTGCACATTCAACAGACATTTATTGATCAAGATTGGAAAGTCAGTGGATTTTGTTTCCTGACAACTTAGAGTGATGGAAAGAGCAACAGTTTGGAAATGAGATATACTTAGATTTGAATTTTGCTTCTGCTACTTAATACCTGTGTTACTTGGAATAAGTCATTATACTTCTTTGAGCATCAGTATTCTTTTTTTAAATATAAGCCTAATTTTATTTTGAGGGGAAAAATAAAATGTATTTACATATATAGAAAAAGGCCTGGAAAACTTTCACCAAAAGAACATCAGTATTCTTTTTTTATCCTTTAAAAAAATTTTTTTTATTTATATATGACAGCAGAATGCATTACAATTCTTATTACACATACAGAGCACAATTTTTCATATCTCTGGTTGTATACACAGTATATTCACACAAATTTGTATCTTCATATCTGTACTTTGGATAATAATGGTTATTATATTCCACTATGATTAATAATCCCATGCCCCCTCCCGTCCTCTCCAACCCCTCTGCCCTATCTAGAGTTCATCTATTCCTCTCATTCCGCTCTCTATCCCACTACAAATCAGCCTCCTTATATCAAAGAAAACATTTGGTATTTGTTTTTTTTTTTTTGGATTGGCCAACTTCACTTAGCATTACCTTCTCTAATTCCATCCATTTACCTGCAAATGCCATGATTTTATTCTCTTTTATTGCTGAGTAATATTCCCTTGTGTATATATAAATGTCAGTATTCTTATATGCAACTTGGGATAATCATTTGGATCTTACAAGCAAAGCTGTGAGGATTAAAAGGGCTAACAAACATGAAAGGCCTTATGAGGTGAGGTGCTATTCAACTAGCCTGAAATTATAATTTTGGCAATACAATAAAACAATTAGAGGTAGGAATATGTTTTTTATCTATCCAGGTACTCTGCATTGTCTTTAAATACCTATAGATGCCACTATTAGGAATCAAGATTTGTTTTCCTCATTAAATGAGGGGTTCTTGTATTTGGAAAAAAAACAGAATATCAGAAACAGTCCTACTGTAAGCATACCCACACACGTCACCCCACATATTGGCGGAGCTCTGCTCAAACCACTTGAGGTTGGGCTGACTCAGAATCCTGTTTTGGAAGTAACATTCAAATCATTTCTCCCTGAGACCCTGCCCTTCTCAGTAGGGTTGGCTCTGGGTTGGTATTGATCTAGAGAGTTGTAGGGTACAACTGGAAGAACTTAATACCATTTGAGTGAATAACCCTGGAACAATTAGAAGAATTTTTAAGCAAAACACTGGTTTCTGAGCAGGTAAGAAGAAACTTATGTATGTTTACTTATTTCAATATTTCTATGATAGTAGTACCAATTTAATCATGTTTGATAACTGAACCAGGTGTCAGGAGACTTGAGGTCTATTATTGGGTTTCTGTAGATACTTCTGTGTAGTGAATTATAACAAACCCCTTTTGAGAACCTCAGTATCCTCATACTGGAAATGGAAGCAGTGCTGTTTGGCTGCTCTGAGAACACAGATTTCACTTACTAATTGCATCTGATTAGATATATGCTTGGTTTATCCTCCTACTCCCTGGTTTTTGGACACATCTACTGCTCACATTTCCTCTTAAGGGGTGGGCTACAGAAACGGATGAAAATTTGAAACTATTTATGTTGTTCTGGGGAAGTGTTGGGAGAGGCAAGAAATTTGAGCTATTGTGTACTTTAATTAACCAGGCTATACATGTAACCTAAGACTTCAAGGTTACATGAAAATTGTCCAGAATTGGAATTCTTTCTTTATAATTCCAAAGAGCTTGAGGTTTTTCTTTTCCCAAGAGCAATTTAAGTAGGTCTGGGGTACTTCAGATACTGGTTTTGAATTGAGAACTTTCAGCTAACTTTCTATCACTAAATTTACATGAGCATACCCTTCCCTCCCTTCCCCCTTAAGCCCTAATGCTGGTGGGTCTGAAAGATGGGCAAAAGTGACCAACAGTCAGGGCTCCCCAAAAGGAGCTGGGGTCTCGACTCAGTCTAAAGAGCACTCTCTTACCACAGGTAACTTGGACCAGGGCTCCAAGACTCTAGAAACCTGCAAGAAAATTGGTGGATACTGGAAGCTGCAGAGACCAGGAAACAAGCCAATAAATGAAGTAAGACCCCTTTCATAGTACCTTAGTTCCTCTAAGCTTCCTTTTCCCTGCACATATTACATGTATTGGTGCTTCTAGCATGTGTAATGGAAGAAATTTATAAATGGGGTTTGGAGATATTTTATGGCTATATAAAAGATGGAAACATTGAACTTTTTCCCCTGGGATTAATTTTTGCATGAGAATAATCAAGGACTTTTTTGTGGTTTCCATGCAGCTTGCTGCTTCTGTTGTCTTTGGCTGCCTTTGCTGTAGCAGATGGGGGAACTGTTACATTTTAAACCCTGGGTACTTTGGTTTGCTTTTATTATATCCTTTAGGTTCATGATCATCTTCAGCACTAACTGGTGACATATTCATAGGCATTCCTTGTCATAAATACAGACATAAAAAACTGGCACTTAGGATTTCAGTGTGAGCAGGATTCTTTATACCTGTGCCTGTTGGGCACTATATGGACATTTGTAGCTTTCTTGCTATAACTGTGAATATGTCTGTCTGTCCACGTATGCCTCTCTGTGTGTCTTTATACATTTCATGCCTGTTAAATGCTTCTTTGGTGCATGTGTGGGTGTCTTTCAGTATGACTACAATGTGTTCTTTCTTAACTTTACCCTCTGCTGCTTCTATCTATCGATGTATCTTTATGTCTATCTATATATGTATATGTATATGTATATACATACATACATAAACACATACACTCCTTTTTGTCAGATTTCATCTTTGGGTGTTTTGACATGTGCTGCCTTTTTGTAAGTGTTTGATTCTGTAGACCTTTTCACTTGCATGTTTTTCCTTGAAGATGTCTATGAATGCCTGTTTTCCTCTGAGTCTTTATTTTTGCATAGTCAGTATATCTGAGAGCATGTGTTTGGGCACATAGGTTATATTTCTATGGCTAAGCCCTGGTGAGCAATAATACCGGTAAATGGAGCTTTCAGAGGTGTCTGGCCTGGTGGCTTAACTTTCACTACCACTGCCCTCCAATTTGAATATGCCCTCTCAGAAACAGATTCACAGCAGTTTAGGCCTGTTTCATGACAGCACACATTTATTTAGATATCTTGGCCAGGGATATGTGTCATGAAATTGAAGTTTGTTGGTTTTTCTGTTGTAGTTTAAGAGTTGCAAAGTGAGGCCCACAGGAAATCTTTTATGGTTTTGGATTCTTTCTCTCATTATCTTCCCTCTGCTGAGTTTTCCTTTTCCTAGCCTTCCCACTTAATTCACTTGGTCCAGAGTTAGGCTGGTCCACTCCTCTCATGACAAAGGACACCAACAGACTCTTCTGTACACTTGTTTACATTTTAGCCATGTCTTTATTTTAGGCTTTTTTTTTTTTTGTACTGGGGATTGAACCCAGTGGAGCTTTACCACTGAACTACATCCTGCTGGGCTTTTTTTCAGTCAGAGAACAAATGATCGGCTTCCTCTTAATTAGAAATTTCTGTATTTTCAAAGACGGCAATTAGGCATTTGTGATAATATTCTTTCCCAAGGTAAGCCAATCTTTGTAAGACCCCTAGAGGTAAAATCCAAGGAAGTGTTTCCAGTAAGATAAAATATCCAGTAGTTTAGGGGGCTACCAAAAAGACTATAACTGTTAATAAACAGTTTTGTAGCCCTTATCAGCCCTATAGTAATATTGTTATTACTAATATAATAAAAGTATATGTGTCATATGTAATTATGTGTAATATAATATTACTATAATTCTATAAAAAGTAATAATAATACTAGTAATAATAATAGTTCATATCTCTGTGGCATTTGAAAAATTATTTCAAATTCAATGTTTTATTTGACCTCATGGCAGTGCTGTCAATTAATCTCACCCCTATTTTGTAGATGAAAATTCTGAAGCTCAAAGAGGGGCATCTTACTAGTAAGTAGTATAGCCAGGAACCGAACTCACTGTATAATTCTAAATCAAAAGGCAAGGCTTTTATCTATGCTGTCTTTCATGATCCCCAAAAATCCAGAATTGTAAGCAAAACAGTTTTTCAAGGGATTGAGCCAAGGTAATTGTAAAAAAAAATCTAGTTATGTGATATTCAATACTTTTTATAAGGTGGAATTTGAGCTGGGCTCTGAAAGATGGGAAGATTGAAATAGAGCAAAAGGAGATGGCCTTTTCAGACAGCAGGAGCTATATAATATATCCCTGTCCCCTGGGAAGAGTCATTTCAAGCTGGTCTCTTATAAACAGTTCTAGGAATGAAAGGGAGCCACTCTTTTCATGTCTGTATACTTTACAGTTAAGAGAGTACATTTGCACATATAATGTCTTTTAATTATCACAGCCATCATGGAAATACTATGTTACTTCCATTTTCCATGTAATGAAGTGGGGCTGGAAGGAAATAAATTTCTATCAGAGGCAGTTTATAATTTCTTGTGGCCCCAAGCCAATGGCTTGATGCCCATTCCATGGTACAATTAGGGAAAATGGCAGGGTATCTACAGTAGGTTTAAAAGCATATGGATCTATCCATATTCTACCCCTACCACTCCTAATATTTGCCAACTTTTTTAGGGACACATATTTATTGGCTTTGGCCTTGACAGGTAGGCATCAGTTGATGATCTTATCAGGAAAACCTGCTGTGGCAGTCCCCCACCTTACCAAATCAGGGAGCTCTGATGGGAACACTCTGGAGGTGAGATCAGCACTCAGATCTCCAGCAGTCTGAAAGAAGAAAGCTGCTGTTTTGGGCTTCCCCTCAGTTCTTTTCCCTTGTGCAACCCTTACGTGTCACCTGTCAAAAAGCCAGCCACACTTTCTCCCAGTAGTTAAAATTAGCCAGCCTCCTCTTTTCCCCAAGGCTATTCTAAGAAAACATTTTCAAAAGGAAGTTTATTAATCAGATGATGAAGAGAAATTGGTTTATAGGAGTTGGCAAGTGTGAGCCTTGAGATTCAGGATCTAGTTACTTTTCCTTGTTCCTAAGTTTTAGGCAATAAAGTCTCTGGATCTCATTTAAATTTGGCTGTTCATGGTAGATATTCTGATCATAATAAGTGATGAACTTTTCAAAGTGCATCCACACCTACTATCTCAGTGAGGCAGAAGAGATGTCTCAGAAAAACTAAAAGATCTTATTTAAGATCACCTAGATAACTGTTGGTAGAACCAGAATTGGAACATTGTGTCTGAACTCTCAGGTCCATGTTCTTTTTATAACAGCCACCTGGATTACATTGATAGATTTAGATTTCAAAGCTCTTTTTGTCTTGGAAATTCAGACCATTTTGAGACAGCTTTATTACCATTAATTTACATATACTAAACTCACCAAGTTTAAGTATACTATTTGATGCATTTTTTACAAATGTGTATAGTTATGCAATCACCAACACAGTTGTGATATGGAACATTTTCATCACCTCCACAAATTCCCTCATGTCACTTTGTAGCCTGTTCATTCCCCTCTACTCCCTGGCAATCACAGATCATCTCTTTATCTTTATAATTATGCCAGAACTTTTAAACTGGCAATAATCAGTTTGTCTTCAAAACCTGTGTAGGCAAAATGATCCCTGTTTTGAATCTTGCAACCTATGGGAAGTGAAATAATTTTCTATAAGTCAGACAAAATATTTGTTTGTTCATTCACTTATCCATTCATTCATTCATTCAGAAAACAGTGATTCCATTTCAGAATCTATGCTGCATGCAAAATTTTAAAAGTCTATGCTCTCAAAGTTTTCACAGTCTAATCAGAGGAGACCCATAAACCAAATGAAGAATTAGAGCAATGAGATACATTTGAAGAAAAATGCTTCAATCCAGGACTAAGAAGTGCTTAGTTCTGTTTGGAGAAGTCAAAGAAAAAGACCAGATCCTGAATTCCAGAGTAGGTGTTTTTAGAACAATGATCAGGTGTTCTGAAATAGGTGGTAGAAGTTAAAGGGACAGCACTGGATGTCTTTTTCCAGGCCAAGAGAAGGAAAATATGAGGAGAATTAGCACACTGGGCTTGGAGAATGGAAAGATGGAAGCATGAGTTGGTAGATATCTGTTAAAATCTCAAAGGATCCCCAAAGGTCAGGAGCCCTATTTGACTTGATATCCTTGATCTTAACTTAGTTGGAAAGTTTAAGCGAGTGCCAGTGTGGTAATTATCTTGTTAAGCCCTGATGTTTTGGGAATTTCAAGAATGTTTGGGTTGAAAAATGTTTATTTTGAGGATTGCTTTTATTTCCTTGTTTAGATAGCAAAGAGATGTTATCCCAGGGACCTGAAAGACAATGCATGACTTTTTTTTTTTCCTAAGAGGACAGAAGCAGTAGAGGCTCAGTCCCATATTGTCTACATATTATGGAGACCTTAGATGGTGGGGATCTCAAGGCTATGAGTATATTTGTCATAAAACTGTTAAACTGCCAGCATTTCTGCATCTCACTATGTCTTTAGAACTAGATAAATCTCTCCCACAGGCCTGAGCCTTCCCTGAAGGAGATATTTTCCTTTTTCAACCACTTAGCATAGAGCTCAGAAATTAGGTTCTGGAATCAGAAATATAGGGGTTTTCATCTTCAACTTGGCTGGAATTGGAAACCAAAGTCCCCTTCTGCCAGAAAGTCTAGAAAGATTTCTGAATGAAGAGTCAGGAGTCCTGGAATATAGTCTTGGTCCTGGGTAATTTGGGTACTATTTTCTTCCCTACCTTGCTTGAGTCTTAAAGGGACTAAGGACTTTAATCTGGGACTATAGAAGTGCTTAGTTTTGTGTGAAGAAATCAAGTTTACTAATCTGATTATAAGAAAGTTTAATTGGATACCCTTACAGGTTCTTTCTGTCCTTTCAAAAGGTGTATTCTGGTGGCTAAATAAGAAGTCCCTGTAGTTGTTCTTATAGAACCAGGCCTCAACATTGTCTGGGTTGCTCAGCAAACAAGTGCTACAGTTTCATAACAAGAACAATATGGGGACTGGGGCTGTAGCTCAGTGGTAAAGTACTTGCGTCACATATGTGAGGCACTGGGTTCGATCCTCAGCACCACAAAAAAACGAAGATACTGTGTGTTTACCTACAAATAAATAAATATTTTAAAAAAGAACACTGTGGGACAGAACAAAGTGATCTAGGACTTTCTTCTTTTTTCCCCCTCAGGCTATGTTGTGACTAAGTAGAGTCAAGTGAGGCACTTGACTTAGGGGCAAAATTTAAGGGGGTACTAAAAAACACTCAAGAATCAGGATTAATAGTATTTAAATATAATACTTTAAAATCAAAATTAATGAATATGAAAATCCACCATTAACAACATAGTAAAATTTTAAATAAAATGAGATCAGTATTGCCAAACTTCCCTTTAGCCTTGGACTCCAATATGGCTTGGTGTGCCATATTGTGCCATTGTTACCTCCCTTATATTTCTCCCTAATAGAAAAAAATATGCCTCACTTAGGAATCCAAGATTGAGAAAGCCAAGTTTCGGCATAAGTTTGGTACTTGTTCTTTACACAAAGTAGCTTATGTATAGTGACAGGTGTAGAACAACATAATGGTTAGGGGTAGGGCTTCTAGAGCCAAACAGCCAGTATGTGAATGTTAAGTCTGCTATTTATTACCTCTATGACCTTGGACAACTTAACTTTTATGAGTCTCACTTTCTCATTCAGTAAAATAGGGACAAAAATAATACCTTCTTCATAGGGCTATTCTGAGGGTTAAATTAATTAGTATATATGAATATCTAAGTAAATAATCTATTATGTGGTATGTATCCAGTGAACATTTGTTCTTGTTATATTTAGGAAGAGGTTGGTTTAGAACTCTTTGAATATGAGTATTGATACTGCAGTAATGTGACTGAAGCAGGTCGTTGGGTCATCCTTCTTGCTGTTCTTTGAAATTTCTTTGAGAACAACTTTATTTATAAATCAAAAATGAAGTACATAACTTCTAAAATTTATTTCCTGTATCATATTGTCAAAGTAAACTCCATAAATATGTACAAATAAATATATATATATTAAAAAATACTTTTTCATTTAATATGACTCCTGAAACAAATAGTATTTAAATTTGGGTAGACAATGGCTATTTTGTATAGATCTATCTAAACTATTTAGATAGTGCTGGACTATTTTTGATGAACTGTTTCCTACACTGTGACCAGCAGGGCCACTTAAGGTGTCATAGCCAGTAGAAATTCATTGAGGTTCCAGAATTATACCCATGTTCTACTTTCTCTTCACTGAGGCTAAAGACATGTATGGGGCCTTGCCTAAATGTAGAACTCTCTGAAGCCAAAGGTTAGACTTGTGATTGATTGATTAGTCAATTAATTGATTCTCATATACTTGATAAATACTACTCAAATGTTCACTTTGTTTGAGGTCCTGTGGCTTAATTCTCAGTATAGAGGTAGGAATCTTACCCAGCCCCTGCCTGTTCTAGTAGGGGGTAAAGGCATAGATTCCTCCAACCTGAAATCAGTGTCTCCTTTCCAATCTGTATTATTCAATGTTCTCCAGAGAAACATAACCAAATTAAATCATGTGATTATGGAGACTGACAAGTCCAATAAGCAGAATGGACATGCAGGAAGGACTGATGTTCCAATTTGTAGGCTGTGAGGCAGGATGAGCTAATATTCCAAATGAACTCTCCAATAGATGGAAGAATTGTAATTTTGGGGAGGATAGATCTATTTAGATCTTAAGCTGATTGGTTGAGGTATACCCATATTATGAAGAGCAATCTGCTGTACTGATTAAAATGTTACTCTCATCCAAAAACTTTGGCCAAGTGGCTGGGTAACCTGTAGCCCAGTGAAATGGTTAATTTGAATTGTCAACTTGATTGAGTTAAGAGATGCTGACAATTAAGAGGCTTATGGGTGTGTCAGTGAGGGTATGTCTAGGAATGATTGGCACGTGGGATAGCCAACTGCAATGGAGACCTTTGCTAAGCATGGGCAGCACTGTCCAATAGGATGATGGTTTGGATTGAATAAAAGTTGGAAGAACAAGGAAATAGCAGCAGATGAAAGCTCGATTCTTCTTAAACCAATTCTTGATTGGTACTGCAATTGTCTGAGGATATGAGACTCTCACTTCTTCACTCTTCCAAAGTGGACTTTGCCAGTGATTCCCCAGAAGCCTTCAGTCTTGAACTAGTGTAGCACTCTTGATCCCTCTTGTTCTGGGGCTTCAGTTTCTTGGACTGCACAGCTACTGGTTCTTCCAGCTCTCAGCCTGCAGATGGCTATTGTGGACTATCCAGCTTCTGGTCATGTAAGCCAACCTAATAAATCCCCTTTTTATAATTATACTTCCTGCTGATTCTCTTCCTTTAGAGAACCCTGACTAATACACCCAGTTAAGTTGACTCGTAAAATTAACTCTCACAAGTCCACGCCTTGTCAATTTGGTACCCATATGTATCTCCAAATAAAGACAAAAGTGTGTACATACTTCCACCTAACATGGTTCAACTGTTCTGTGTACAATTGAAAATGCATTAACGCTTTACCCAGAGGAGCATACAAAGATTTGGATAATGTTTACTCTTCTCCTTGATATCTCTCATACCTTATATACTATGATATAAAGTTGACTATACTTAAATGTCATGATATAATGTTAGTACATCATCTATTACATGATAGGGGGATAAGAGGGGGAAGAACACAAAGATATTTGCTACACACTCACACTCAAATGTTTTATAACAAATTGAGGAGATACTCATGACAAATACAGTTCTCTGTCACTGGTCATGCAGTTGTAGATGGTATTTGTAACTACCATCATCCACTATCTATAGGGTACTCCCTTTCCCTACAACAAGCACCTTGGCCAAGTCATGGTTCTTGACCTGGAAGGGTCACCCAAACATGCACTACTGAAGGGTCTGTGTCATCAGTGTTCCTGCCTAGATTGAATTTTCCATTGACCTTAGTCACAGAGTATGGTAATGTCAAGAGATACCTTAAGGGATCCCCTATATTTCAGACATATTTCTCCATATTTCCATTGTGGGGTTTGCAAATTTCCCTGTGATAGTCAGATCAGTCGCCCCAGCCAACACAGCAACTCCCTTCATTGCCTGTTGATTTAGAGGCAAAATTTTAGAGTACCTAAATAGAGATCTATATGGTCTATAGTGTGCTATAAAAACCCAGATGATGAGTTATATCTGACTACTAAGTGGGGAAGAACAGAAGAATCATAGGAAATTTCATAGAGAGGGCATAATTTTTGAGCTAGATCTTGAAGACCTCTGGAAGCCCAGTAATTATTTAAACTAGAGAAGCCTTGGAGGAGCTTCCAAGTAAGGATACAGGGCCATTGATTGAGCACCTGTCATATGCTATGCTCTAGCCTGAGTATTTAAAGTCCATAATTCTTTAAACTAGAAAGCCTGGGAAAGGTGAAAATCAGCTTCTTCTCTTGAAATTCTCTCTCCTTTGCTCATACCAGGACCTGGTGTTCATCATTTTACCCTTCTTCCATGTATCACAATCAGCTTTGAAGAAAGTCTCAGTACTGTGCCTCGTTTCACCTCTGTGGTAGGAAGAATAATGGACACCCAAAGAAATCTTTGTCTTCATCTCTGGAACATGTAAATGTGTTAATTTATATGGCAAAAGTAACATTGTATATGTACTAAATTTAAGGATTTTGAGATTGTGAGATTATTCAGGATTATCTAGGTGCAGCTGTCATAATCATAAGGCTCCTTAAAAAGGAAAGGAGGGGCAGCAGAGATAAGGAAAGATGTGATAGACTGAGGCAGAAGAATCAGAGATGTTGGAAGGTACTACTCTGCTGACTGTGAAGATGGAAGAAGTGCCTTTAGACAAGGAATTCAGGCATCTGAAAAGAATTGCAAAAGACAAACAGACAGATCCTCCCCTAGAGCCACCAGTAGTATGCCCAGTGTTCCTAAAGGAGTACACCTTGATTTTAGTTAAGTAAGACTCATTTTGTATTTCTTTTCTTTAGAACTAAAAGATAATTTGTTTCATTCAAAGCCACTTAGTTTGTGATAATTTGTTTCTGGATTTTCAGATTCATGCTGAAAGACAGAAAGAGAAGCCTTTCAGTACTCTAGGACAGGCAAGCCATTTTAATATATGTAGAACATCTCAGTTGTCATGTCTGAGTGTTGCTAACTTGTGTGATCAGACTGTCACTTTCATAGGTCTTATGGGAATATTTTCATAGTCCCTGGTTATGGCCTGATTGAAGTCAATCCTACAGTCACCTGTGTGGCTCAGGTGCCCGTTTGGGGACTATGGGCAATGAGGATGTGAACACCAAAGAGACTCCCATTTAACACCTTGCTGTCCAAATTTTTTGTCTCTACCCAGGTGTGATATAACTCATACCTAGCTGTTGGATTCTGTTAGCCCTGCTCTGCACTCCTAGCAGACCCTACTCCCCACTAAGTACAAGGCTACTCAAACTTATCCTCAGGTATGGGTTCCACTGCTACTTAGATCATGTTATCACTTATAATTTCTTTCTTTTTCTTTAAGTTGAAAATATAAAATGAGATAATTGTAGATTCACATGCATTTGTAAGAAATAATATAGAGAATTCCCAAGCATCTTTGCCCAATTTTCCCAATGATAACAGTTTGTAAAACTATGATACCATGTCACAATCAGGTTACTGACATTAATAGAACCCACCAATCTTATTCAGTTTCCCAAGTTTTACTAACTTTTTTGGATGTGTTTAGTTTTTTTCAGCTTTATCCTACACGTAGATTCATGTATCTTCCACTTCGGTGAAGGTTCTGAACAATTGCACCACCAAAAGTATTTATTCTGTTGCCCTTTTATAGCCATCCTCACCTGTCTCTCACCATCTTCTCCAACCCTTGTATAACATTAATCCACTCTTGATTTCTAAACTTTTGCTTTTGTAAGAATGTTACATAAAAGGAATTATACAGTATATGATCTTTTGAGGCTGGCTTTTTTGTTTAACTCATCCTAACTCCCTTGTATCAATAACCCATTCCATTTTATGCCTTATATAGTTTTCCATGGTATTAATGTCCCACAGTAAACCATTCACCTATTGAAGGACATTAGGGGTATGTCCAGTTTAGGGCTATCATGAATAAAGCTGTTATATAAATTTATGAATAGGTTATTGGATGAACATAAGTTTTGATTTTTCAGAAGTAAACTTCTAAGATTACATTTGCTAAGTGATGTGATAATTGCATGCTTAATTTTGATTTTGTAAGAAATTGCCAAACTGTTTCCCAGGGTGGTATGCCATTTACTTTCCCACCAGCAAATTATGTGTCATGTTTCATTGCATGAGTAATCCAGTTTTAAGCATTTATACCAATATTTGATATTGTCACTATTTTTTATTCTAACCATTATAATAGATGTTAGAATATAATAGATTATATATAATAGAATCTATATTATTATATATTAATAATTATAATTATAATTAATAATATTGTATTTTAATTATGTATTAATATATAATATATTATATATAATAGAATATAATATATTATTAGTGACATCTCATTGTGATTTTAATTTGAATTTATCTAATGTCTGATGGTGTTGAATACCCTTTCATGCACTTATTGGTCATCTGGACATCAACTTTGGAGAAATGTATGACTTCTCTGAAGGCTGTGTGATAATCGCTTGGTCCCCTGCTGATGGCACAGATGGGAGGTGGTGGAAACATTAATATATGGGGCTTATTTGGAGGAAGAAGGTCACAGGGCTGGGGTTTGGGGAGAGGGCATGCCTTTGAAGAGTTTATTTGCCGCCTCCCTTTTCCTCATTCTCTTTCTCTGCTTTCTGATTACGCTGAGGTGAGAAAGTTTCTTGTCATAACCTTCTACCAGGCCCATAGCAATGGGAATCACCACCCATGGGCTGAAATCTCTGACACCATGAGCTAAAATAAATCTTTCCTCCTTTAAATTGATACTCTCAGGTATTTTGTCTCAGCAGAGGAAAGCTAATTTAGTCTATTCATATCTTTTTTCCTATTTTCCTACTGGATTGTTTTTTTTAAAAAATTATTTATAAATGGGCACAATATCTTTATTTTGTTTGTTTATTTTTATGTGGTGCTGAGGTCCGAACTCAGGGTCTCATACGTGCCAGGGGAGCGCTCTACTGCTGAGCCAGAACCCCAGCCCTGGATTGTTTTTTTTACTATTAAGTATTGAGAATTTTTATATATTTTAGATATTGGTATTTTGTCAGATATGACATTTCAAAGTATTTTCTCCCAGGTCTGTGGCTTGCCTTTTCATCAACTTCACATGGGTTTTCACAGAGCAAAATGTTTACATTTTGATAGGGTTCACTTTGTTGTTTTTTCTTTTTATGTATGGTGCTTTTATCAGCATGTGTAACTCCTTAACAAACTATATTCTCAAGATTTTCTTCTTTTATTTTTCTAAAAAAGTTTACAGTTTAAAAAAGTTTATAGTTCTATGCCTTCCAGGTATAATCTAGATTTGCACCTTAATTAACAGGCTCCCCAGATCACGCTCCCACAGTGCATTTTACCCTTCATGTACTTCTGGTCACGTCATTTAGGAATCCCTTCATCATTAGCCCATATCCAGCCCTTTAATTCTTTAATACCTTGCTTATTTTAACTACCTTCTAAGCCACTGTCTCTTCTGCCTGACATTTAGATTTTTTTTCTTTCCCATTATTGAGCCGTCAGTTTTGTGTATGAATTCCTTCTTTTCCTATAGCCCAAGTCACCTCTTTTTTTCCCTCTTCTGTAACCCCCAAACTCTTTCCTTTTCTTTCTTATCACCTGGTCCCCTCCAAGTTCCCCATCATTTAGCTATGATCTTCTTTCTCCTTCAAGGTCCTGCTTCTCCCTAAACCCTTGTGTACCTTCTATGCCCCCATCTTCCCTGTCAATGCCTCAATTTATCACTTAACCTCTTTCTCTGCTGCTTTGTTTCTGAAGAGAAGCTTCTTTCTTTCACTTATCTGCATCTTGGCTACTTATCTCTCAACTCTACCACTTAGTTGATTCTACTTGAGCTCGTCCTTGTCATTGTGCTCTATATAGACATTTAGAGCCTGTCTCTGTCAACAGAGGAATCACATTTAGATACTTATTTTCTTGACAAGGCTTTCTTGAGAAAATAAGATATCCATAGCTTCTGAAACACAAATCCTGTTTGCATTTTTACAGCTGGGCAGGCAATTTCCACCCTACTTTTCTGAAGTTGCTCTAAGAGTTGCATGTACTTATATGAAAACAGCAGGGATTCAACAAATGCTAATTCCATTTCCTACTTTGACATGTTCCTTCCAGTCCATGGGGACTGTTTTAGACAGCTTTTTTGCTGCTTTGACTAAAGGACCAGACCAAAAACAATTGTAGAGGAGGAAAAGTTTATTTAGGGCTAACGGTTTCAGAGGTCTCAATCCATAGACAGCAGACTCCATTTCTTGGGGCTCAAGGTAAGGCTAAGCATCATGGCAGAAGAGTGTAGCAGAGGGAAGCAGCCCTCATGGCAATCAGAAGGTAGAGAGAGAGATGTCTCTACTTTCCAGATGCAAAATATACACCCCATAGCCATGCCCCCAATTAACCACCTCCTCCAGCCACACCCCACCTGCCTTCAGTCAACACCCAGTTAATCCCATCACGGATCAATTCACTAATTAGGTTAAGACTATAACTTCATGCTTTTCCTTTCAAACCTTTTTGCATTGTCTCATACATGAGTTTCTGGGAGACACCACATCTAAATTATAACAGGGACTAAAGGTTTTGCCTAGACATTTGGGAGTGGATGTGACCGTCTTTCTCATCACTTGGACTCTAAATAGCATAGAGGGGAAGTTGTACAACTGAAGGGCAGGTTTCATGTTTCCCTTGGCTTTTCCTTTTTTTCTCGTGGGACTGTATGAAGTGAGTTGGATTGACCAAAATCCTGGGCCAGGCCTGGCTACTTGTCAGGGGCATGGTGACTTCTAAAACTATCACCTCCTTTGGGAGAGTCTCTTCCCTTTGTATCACTCTTTCTTCACCATTTAGGAAGTGGCATCACCCATAATCCTGGGCCCACATTTAGTACCTTAAATGTCAAAAACCAGGGCTTTGCTTCTTAACTTGAAAATCTGGCCACCTCCTATTTTTTTCTTTCTTTATTTTTTAGTTTTCAGCAGACACAACATCTTTTGTTTGTATGTGGTGTTGAGGATCGATCCCGGGCCGCATGCATGCCAGGCGAGCGAGCTACCCCGCTTGAGCCACATCCCCAGCCCAGGCCACCTCCTATTGTAGAGAGTGCATCCTTTTATTTTTTTGGTCAGTGAGTCCCCACTCTTTCTTTTAAGAACTTATTGTTTGCCAAGGGTAGAGGAGCATGTAGGAAGGGAAGGAAAAGAGAACTTTGGAGTATCTAAACTGATAGGCCTGGACAGACCACCTGATCCAATAGCTTTGTTTTACAGCTAGGAAAACTGAAGTCCAGGAAGGGAAGTGACTTACCCAGCAAGTGACCGAGCTAGGGTCAGAAGCCAGCTTAAGAGGGAAGGAGAGAGTTGACTTTATTAATCTTGGACTCACTTTGTCAGACTCACATTTCTACACTGGGTTTTCATTGATGCCATGACAAATAGAATGTTATACTGGAGGTC